TAAGATGCACTTAATCATAAAATATTTCTAGACTGTTGGAACCTTGTTGCGCTCTTTTCTTTATCATGAAGACACTTTGGGGTTTATTTACTAAAGCTGGAGTGTCCAAAATCAGACTCCCTTCTGCATAGAAACCAATCAGCTTCTAACCTCAGCTTGTTCAATGAAGCTTTGGCAATGAAACCTGGAAGCTGATTGGTTTCTATGCAGAAGGGAGTCTGATTTTGGACTCTCCAGCTTTAGTAAATAAACCCCTTTATGTAGAAAGGACCCCCGTGTCCATTTGGTAAGCCAACCTAGGATGGAGACCAACACACCACTTTTATTTTTCTCCACTAAGTGGAAGAAAAGATTAGCACCAACAGCTATAGTACATTGTTCTATTAAGATGGAACTCAATATTATTTAGAGGAATTTCCAACATATGATTAGAATGTAACACCCTGGTTAAATATTATTACATAAGCCAGCATCCATAATTGCATTTAAAAAAAAGCCCATAGATGGGGATAATTCTCACTACAAATTAAGCTTTTTCAGACCCGCTGGGATAAGAACTTTCTTCGATGATTGACCACATTTTTCAAGTGTGTACATTCATGGTGTACCTACTCAACTTCTCAACTTCTATTTTTTTTCTGTTTTATTTTTTTTAGGTTTTAGAAAGAATAGGGAATTATTACAATCTAGTGAGGGGAAATCTTCCTAATGGAGATACAAACAGAAACAGAAGTTCCAAACCTTTCTTGGCCTACAAGAGTATGTGTTTTTATCCTTGTTGATTTCCCAGTAGGGGAGATTGACTCCCTACTTCCTTTCTATGAAATAGACAGGAAGGCTATTACCCTTCCTCACTCTACGACAATAAAATGTTTTGGCTGGAGTTGGGTTTTAAGAATTTGGACATCCTAGACCAGGCTTTCCCAACCTATTCAACACAGAGGAACTCTGGAAATAATTCTCCCGTCTTAGGGAACCCTTGCTAAAAATTACTATATCTACAACTTGTGATGCATTAGCGTGACAGTCAGTGGGAAGAATGCAAAGACTTGTGGCCGTTGGGAAGAAATAACTCCTTACAGGTTGCTAAAAAAATAAATGGTGTCAGTGGGAACTTATCTGAGAAGCAGACATTGCTCATTGCTCAAGAAACCCCTGGAATCCTCCAGAAGAAACCTAGGGTTCCATGGAACCCTGGTTGAGAAACCCTGGCTTAGACAACAAAAAATAAATCTTCTTCAAAGACCCATCTAAAATGAATTTGAAATATTTCTTTATGTGTTTGGATATTTGCCGTTAGTGCTATCTGAGAGTGCTGGTAAAAGTATACCAGGTATTAATGAAGATTTTAAGAACAATTTAGTGCGTTATCATAGAGGTTCATCAGAAGAAGCAACAAAAAAAAAAAATAAAGAAAACTACTTTTCAAGCAAAATTTTAAAAAAAATTTAAACTTCTGCAAGTCCAAATCATCATATATATATTTGTGAATATTACACAACAACCTCTTTTATATGAGAGAAACGTGTTCCTTAGATATAGAAAAGTAAGAAAGTATTTTACATGGTTGTCAGTAATGTCTACCAGAGATTTATGTGGTCTACCTTGAAGTTTTACTAATTGACAGAACCATTTTCACGATTTTATTTTATATTTATTATTGTACTCTTTCTGTCATGCCTTTAAATTATAACATTGCCTTTTATTTATGCTTAGGAATTGGTGTTATATTTGAATTGATTGTAACTGGGCCTATGATACTGCATGGTCTTTCTGCTACTGCACTGACTGAAGATGGGTATTTTGGTAGCCAATGATACAATGGGGCACTTTAAGTCCTTTGTCCTATTCCCAAATCCAAAATCCTCCTAGCAATTCAAGAAAAAAAAAAATAGAGAAAGTGTTGGAAAAACAATTTGTATTTTGTTATTTTGTATTTATTTTATTGCCATGATGCTTTCATTCTTACACATGAATGTTTCGTCTGTGAGGTTGCTTCAATAGATTTCTTTATTATTTGATTCCTATCATTAAATGGTAGTGCTGTAAATTCTGCAATTAATGTTAAATAAACAGCTTTAATTCACTTGTATTGCTTGCATTCTTTATTTTATTATTATTATTTTTTTTTTTTAGAACGCAATGTTATATATTTATATAAGCGGCTAAAATGAAAACGTAGGAACTTGTGGGTGTAAATTCTACTAAAGTACGCTGATCAGAAAAAAGCGAAGGACTGGATCTTTTAAAATTGAAAATGACAAATTCCTTACTGCAAGTATTTCTCACTAACTTCCACATTGAGACGGTAAAAACAAAAATTTACCAAGAACAAAATCATAAGCATTATAGGGTAACTCCACTTTATTGAAAAAATATAGCAACTGAAAAATAATATAACATGTGCAACTGCTACACAAGCCATTATGTTAATGAATGTTAATAAAAATTGCCTCTCCCTTTCAACGTGCAGCTCGGTCATTTTCTGTAAAATTCAAAGCAATATGGTAACCTGGAGGCAGAACGCTCCTAGAAATGTAATTTCCTGCTTGTGTGATTGGCTCACTGATTTTCCCAGAAGTCTGCATTGAACATTTTAGGCCCCCTCTGCAATGGGAATTTCAGTTTTGGTGAGATACTCCCAGTGGTGTATTTAGGTTTTGTGCTGCCCTAGGCAACATAAAAATTGGATGACCCTCCTCCCCAGTGTAGAGAGCCTGACACCGATGAACACCAGACCCCCTTCCCCCTCTCCCATGGAGGGAGCCTGACACTGACCACCCCCCCCCCCCACCCGAGAGAGCCTTTCACTAACACCCCCCAACCCCCAATCCCAGCAACAGAGAAACACTCACCTTTACAGCTCTGGGCATCCCTGGGAACAACAGTCAGGCTTTGCATACACCATCAAGCAGCCCCCAGCCTCTCTCAGATCCCACCTGGTCCCCATGCTGCATATATCCCTTCTTCCAGGGAGCAGCGTGCTGCCGCCCCCGTGTTTGCCTCGTGGTAAATACGCACCTGGGTACTCCCCAAGTATTAGACATTTTGAAAAGGGATGTAGACCCTGCAGCTTTTCTCATTAGAACACGGCGAGAGCACCAGGTGATAATAATGAATCAGACCTTCGCATTCAGAATCAGTTTGCAAATGACATGATCATTGTCCTGGTCAAACAAACAGCTATTCCTTTGAAGCAACTCTCCTAAAAAGTTTGTTAACTCCTTAGCGCCGTGGTATGAAAATATGTGGCCTCTCAGTGGCTGGGCTTTGACGATGACAGGCTGCATATATATATATATTGAAATATATTTTAAATATATTGAATACAGCCAAAATTGTAGTATTTCAAATATATGTCAATATTTTTGGGAAGAATATTTTTTAAATATATTTTTCTTCCATGTGGGCTAAACGGTGCACCTTCAGGAGATATTTATTCTACCTACAGGTAAACTTTATTATTAGCTTACCTGTAGGTGTCAGAGATCCAGGTATGACAGAGATGTGTGGACTGACACAGGGAACAGCAGGCTTCAGAAATTATGGAATAATAATAAAAGTTATTGAGAGCTGCACAAAATATACAAACGCAGTGCAAACAAAAACCAAACCTTAAACTAATATTAATATGTACAAGTGTAGTCAGGGCTGGAGAGGTGGAGTGGTTAGGCAGGCCGGCCGGGTCAGGAACAATAGGGCAGATAAGGTACAACAGGAGCAGGCAGGAGAATGGTCAGGAATAGCCGGGGCCAATGCAGGCGGAGTTCTAGCAGAGTCAGAGTCAAGCAGAAGAGTCAAGCAGGCAGAAGACAGGATACAGGAAACAGGATCAGGACAACAGGGCACATGGGAAAACACCAAGGCACTGATTGTAGGCCTGGTCCTGCCTAAATACACCTCCTGCAATCAGCCTCAGGTGATGGCTTGATTGCAGGAGTGAGATCCTGGCTGCTGAAAGCACCCGCTGGCAAGCACCGGTACTGCAGCCCACACAGTAGGTGAGCTCCAGCACCACCAGCGGTGAGTCTTTTCCTGACAGTAGGTAAAAAGTAACAAAGTGGCTTTACTACCACTTGAAAGACTCACTCTACTATAACACCTTTTAGGGTTTTTTAGGTTTTACAGCAACAGTTTTTTCTTCTGTGTGGAGTAAACTTAAAAATAAATGCATGTGAAATAATAAAGGAATTTATATATACTGAATGTGATCATTACGGATATTAGCTATGTTCAGTTATCAGAATACAATATTTTTGCGGTCCTTTAGATAGCCTGTACCAATTATTCCTTTGAAAAACTGAATTGGTGGAAAGTACATCCCAGTGATAGCGCTGTATAAAATGATGTGAGACACATAAGGCTCATTTCACACATGCGGACCGTTTGTCCGTTTTTCACCCATCTATTGAAAAATGGACATCAATGCATCTCTATGGAAAAACAGAAGTAAATGGATGGTCATCCACTTACATCCACATCCTTCGACGTCCATTTTTTGAACAGATCAAAGCCCTATTTTTTGTTCCATAAAAAAAACCCGAATTGGGCACAAAACTGATGTAAATGGAGAAACGGTCTGTTTTTGCAGTGATAGAAGAAAACCGATGTACACTATATTTTTTTCTTTAAAAAAACTTGACTGAACTGATGAAACTACAGCATGTGTGAAAGGGGCCTTATATCTACAGCTAGTTTTTATTCTTTTGATAGTAATCACTAACTTTGTTAATGGAAAAGGGTCAGAAACTGTTCATGGAACATAGTTAGTAACTAGGAGAAAAAAATGGGTTTTACTGCTTGTCGCTTTGGGGGTGATGAAGATTTCTTTTTCATATGCAAAGAAAACTTTTTTTACACTGATTGCTTTTATACCCATAAAAGACTGTAAAAGCAATCATTTCTCCTTCTCTCTGGCTGCATTCTTGCAGCCATTGAGAAATAATGTGAAAGCTGTGATTGGTCACAGCTTGTCACATGGTACAAAGCTGTTGTGAATAGCCTTGTACCATGTGACCTCTGTGATCATTCACAGATTTCACACGTAGTAAGCAATGATGTCAGAAGTGACATCTTGTTTACTACTATTCATGTGATCACTGATTGGCCAAGCAGGGATCACAGGAATCGGGACCTCGTACAGAGGTCCCATACAGTGATTGGTGTTCTGCTGTGTCCTCTGGACACAGAGGGCACCGGATCACAATGTCGCGTGCTCACAGGCAGTGAATGCAGTGAATGCGGGGGCCATTTATAAATGGCAACCCGCTTTGGCACTGCTCCCGGCCGGCCGTTTATGTACATGGGCGGGATGGGAAGTGGTTAAAATGGTAAGATATAGATGGGTACCGGGAAGGGCATTGGAATAGCTGAAAATGACTGAATCCTTCTAGAAAAGGACAATTACATGGTTGGTAAGGATGAATGAAGGATCCCTTCCATCCAGTTCAACCTGAGTGTATGAAGTCTTCAATTGGAAGTCAATCTAATACTAACATTTGCAAACTTTTGACACGTTGTGCAAAACGACTATTTTATTGCCCTTGATGAACCCGCCACCTTGCTATCCTGCATGTCCTCCCTCCAATGTGATACATTTTCAACAGCCAAGTAGGTGAGGTTACATGGCCTAATTAGGTTGGGTTGCATCATCAAAAATGATCCACCAACGTGGTCTTTCCTTTGCACTGGTGCTCTACGGTCCCTCTTAGATGAATCCTGCGTTATCACATACCACAGTGCATTGGCTAATTACCAGTTTTTCGTGCTGGCCATGACTAATTCTCCATTGTTACTCAGGGTCTGATTTACTAAAGCATGCAGCTAGGTGAAGTTAGTGAACTTAAGTTAGGGGAACACAGGGGCGGACTGACAACTCATGGGGCCCCCGGGCAATAGGGGATCATGGGGCCCCTGTGCCCTTGCCCAAACCCAAAAAAGCCTATGAAAAAGGTATCAGGGGCGTCTCATGGGGCCCCCTACTGACCCCCGGGCCCTCGGGCGGTGCCCGAGTTTCCAAATGGTCAGTCCGCCCCCTGGGGGAACATACTGTATTTTGCACTGTTTGCATAGAGTCGTTTTGAAGAATTCCCCTTCCTGTTCTGTGTTCTTCAATGCCAATATTCCCTCCCAGTCTAAGCCTTGGAGAGCAGCCCTCAGCTTTGGAAAATTTGCTCATTTGAAATTAGGTGTTTTTTATCTTTCCAGTATGTGATTGCTGTTTACAGCTAAGAATAAATGAAATCATGTTATGGTCACTGATACCCAGATGTTCTTTTATATGGACATTAGTAAGAGACTTTGCATGATTACCAGACCCAGCACAACATCATTTCTAGTTGGGTCCTCTATGAACTGTACCAAAAAATTGTCCTGTAATAGGTTTATAGATTTCTGCCAGCTTACTGTTCCAGCCGTACAATTACTCCAGTCAGTTTCATGGTAGTTAAAATCCCCCATTATTATCACTGTGTCAGCCCTTGCAGTCCTTTCTATCTGAGCAAGGGGCTGATTCTCCAGCCCATCATTAAACCTGGGTGGCCTGTACAAACACCAGTGATCAATTTTGAACTATGTACTCCCATGTGCAATTCCACCCATAATGCTTCAGCCTCATCGCACTCTCCATCAACTAGGTCCTCATTCACACTCGCTCTGAGATCACTTCTCACATAGAGAGACAGACACCACCACCTTTCCTATTTACCCTGTCTCCCCAAAAGAGAACATAGCCAGGAATATTAAGCGCCCAGTCATGCGAAGAATGAAGCCAAGATTCAGGAATACCAATTAATTCATAGTTCTGTTCATGCACCAAAGCTTCCAACTCACCTAATTTGCTTGGCAGACTTCTGGCATTTGAAAATGTGAAAAGAGGGCGCAGCGCTAAGAGAAATACAATTATCCCTGATACATATACATATAGCAAAATATAGCAAAAAAATATAAGAATGTGTGATTATTATGTGCCAAACATTGTGCAAAAAAGCATTAAAAAGTCCTTAAAAAAATAAATAATAAAATGGTGATTCAAAAACGTGCGTCTTCCGGTGATCAAAATTAATTGAATCATGCACTCACCAGATGCATAATTCAAATATGCATGTAGATGATATCCCGATATCCAAGCGAAGTTATCTCAAAATCGGATATGGCATCATAGGATCATCGTCTAGGCACATCTGTCCGTCCGAGTTCTCCTTATGGATCGTGTGTTTCCACACTAAAACACCTCTCAGCTGTCTCCCCAGGTGGCTCTGCGGGTAATGGACTCAGCAGGGTCCTCCTCTGCTGCCGCTTCCAGTCACACTTTCATTCATTATCACATTTTGCTCTTTTGTTTTGCATATCTTTTTTGAGGAAATTGCAGCCGTATTAGTGCATTTTCAAAAAGAACACTGGAGTACAGTCTGTGATTCTTATTGCACTAACATCCAAATTTTTTAGGACATGTTTTCGGAGTGTTTCCCCTTTCAAGGTCCGAGTAGTACTAATACACAAATCTTTAGCAGAATGTTAAGTAAGACAATCTTTGAGATTTATAAAAAAAAAAAAACATACACAGCAGTAGGTAAACTAAGATAGTGAGAAGGTAGGTTAATTAGAACCTGTCTAAATTGGCCCTAGTATGTGTATGTATGATTGTGAGTTATGCCGGCCATACACGGGTCGAAAAAATGTAATACAAATAATGTATTACAATGTTTTTATTTGGATGCAGATGTTTTTATTTGGATACAAATGGATACATTTCTTGCAACTGCAATACTTTTTCATATAAAATATAATAGCGGACAGGAATTCTTCTTCTTGTTCTTCTTCTTATTCTTATGTATTGCTGTCACATTGTATGGTGTGTGCTCCCGTGTCTCTGCAAGAGACAGAAGTTATGGGGTTAATGCCAGCCATAGACGGGACGAAAATCGGGTGTTTTTTTTTAATGGTGGTGGTAAAGTCAGCCGATCGAACGACCAACTTTTTTTGTTTTTATTTGTTTTTTTTTAAATTGGCTGATTTTCGAGCCATCTAGGGTCTGCTTTAGGGACCTTTAAATTGTATGAACCCCCTTGAGGGTTAGGGACTGATGTGAGTGTACAATATATATGTAAGTGCACTGTGTAAATTGTCAGCACTATATAAGTACCTGAAATAAATAATAAATAAGACAGAGAGAGAGCTATAAACTGTGTGTGTGTGTGTGTGTGGGGGGGGGGGGGGATAACAGTCATAGAGGTGAGGAAAACCAACCTACCTTAAAAAAAAACTTGGTCTGCATTCAGTCCATTGTTTTTTTTTGTGTCAAATAGGATGATCATTGCTTAGTTCAAAAGTTTTCCTTTCCTAAACAGTTTTTAAAGTTCCCTTTAAAACTATAACATTAAAGTCTTCCATAGTGTGTTGTTGTAAAAAAAAGTAACACTGACAGTACTCAATGTTCTTTAAGTGTAACTTTTTATTCGTAGAAATAGTCCTATAATTTCAGTGGTTGTAACATGGGAACCTTCGCATCACCAGCCATAACCCTCTATCCCCATTCCATTCTATATCCGCCATGTCTTACCACTGACTGACCTGTCTGCCTCATTGAATTGCCCCCCCCCTCAATTCTGCTTTAGGTGCAAATCATCTTTAGCATATAGGCTGCACCCCAATGAAAAGTCAGCCCAGTGCTCTAGAAACTCAAATCCTTCCCTCTTACACCAGGACTTTAGCCATGCTTTGATTCTCCAATCTCCCGCTGCCTTTCTGTGTGTTGTGTCTGGCACAGGCAATATTCCTGAGAATAAAACCTTGGAGGTCCTACCCTCCAACTTGCAGACCAGTTTTTTAACTTCATTCTTAAGGATCCAAGAAAGAAAAAAAGGGAGGAAAAAAAAACCCTCAAGGCGTTTAAGGGTGACTTTAAAGGCATTATACTAATAAATAACAGATAAAGTTACATAGTTTAGTCTGGCTGAAAAAAGGACAAAAGTCCATCCAGTTTTCAACCATTAAAATAAAAAAAAAAAAAAGTTATTATCCAATACCCACAGTTGATCCAAAGGAAGGTAAAAAAAAACCCAGCAAAACATGATCCAATTTGCTCCTGCAGGGAAAAAAGTTCCTTCCTGACCCCCCCAAGAGGCAATCGGATATTCCCTGGATCAACTTTACCTATAAATGTTATATCCAGTTATATTCTGTGTATCTAAGAAACAATCCAGGACTTTTTAAAAAAGCAATCCACTGAGCTGGCCAGAACCAACTCTCGAGGGAGTCTATTCCACATTTTCACAGCTCTCAACTGTGAAGAAACCTTTCCGTGTTTGGAGATTACATTTCTTTTCCTCCAGACATAAAGAGTGCCCCCTTGTCCTCTGTGATGACCTCAGGGGTGAATAACTCTACACCGAGTTCACTATATGAAACCACTAATGTATTTATACATGGAGATCATATCCCCCCTTATGTATTATAACATGGAGATCATATCCCCCCTTATGTATTATACATGGAGATCAAATCCCCCCTTATGTATTATATGTGGAGATCATATCCCCCCCTTATGTATTATACATGGAGATCATATCCCCCCTTATGTATTATACATGGAGATCATATCCCCCTTATGTATTATACATGGAGATCATATCCCCCTTATGTATTATACATGGAGATCATATCCCCCCTTATGTATTATACATGGAGATCATATCCCCCCTTATGTATTATACATGGAGATCATATCCCCCTTATGTATTATACATGGAGATAATATCCCCCCTTATGTATTATATACATGGAGATCATATCCCCCCTTATGTATTATACCTGGAGATCATATCCCCCCTTATGTATTATACATGGAGATCATATCCCCCCCCCTTATGTATTATACATGGAGATCATATCCCCCCTTATGTATTATACATGGAGATCATATCCCCCCTTATGTATTTTATACATGGAGATCATACCCCCCCCCTTATGTATTATACATGGAGATCATACCCCCCCTTATGTATTATACATGGAGATCATATCCCCCCTTATGTATTATACATGGAGATCATATCCCCCCTTATGTATTATACATGGAGATCATATCCCCCCCTTTTGTATTATACATGGAGATCATATCCCCCCCTTATGTATTATACATGGAGATCATATCCCCCTTATGTATTATACATGGAGATCATATCCCCCCTTATGTGTATTATACATGGAGATCATATCCCCCTTATGTATTATACATGGAGATCATATCCCCCCTTATGTATTATACATGGAGATCATATCCCCCCTTATGTATTATACATGGAGATCATATCCCCCCTTATGTATTATACATGGAGATCATATC